TGCTAACAGGGTGCTAAGCTTTAATTAATTGGATGAATCATTGGTAGCAGTTTTTGTCCCCAGAAAATAAAAATAAAAAGATTAATACAAGGACCAGAAGAGAATTTCACATGAAAACACATTAAATGAGCTTAATATTTAAAGTTTAGAGTGGCTGTAAATTGTTAAAAATTCAGCATTATCTTCTGCGAGTGTCGGGGGCAAAGCCAGACCTAAGGGACAATGGAATGTTTTCACAGAAAAGGAAGCAAATCTGTGGAACAGAGAACTGGATTCAGCCCACAAGATATTTCTCTTACAATATGGGCATACCATTCTTCAGCTTTTCCAGACAGAACTGTGTACAAGTATATGCTACAATGATTTACAGTTCTAACTTAGGACTGATATCATAATACTGTTCACATTTTCACTGCATCCGTACACATGCTCCTTATTATCTCCAGAAACCTAGTCTGCAGACTGGTGCATTTTATCACATGAAAATTCTTTTTTTCACAGCAATGTAGAAAAGATCACTAAAATACTATATCAATGTTTGAAGCTAAATTATATCTTAATGAAAGTTAAATTATTTTGACAAACATCCGAAGATATTATTATACCTATTGGGCAGCACTGAAATATACCAGGATTTTCAGGACAGGCTTAAACATTTGCTAAAGACCTCAAATGCTTTGGAAAAGGGGAATATAAAATCCTATTGGTACAAGAAAAAAAAGCAGGTGGAAAGTTAGCATCTTGCTAATTGTTTTATTGGAGAATTTTTCGGACTATTGGCGCAAGACTTCATACAGTAAGTCTGTATTTCTGGTTACTTTCAATGCCGAGGAACATTATGAACATATGAAAAGGATATAAACTAGTTGGGATTGTTTAAAAAAAAATAAGTGCAGAGAATATTGTTTGTGTATTACCTTTTCCAGAAAAAACATTCAATAATAATAATAATTCATTAGATTTTTTTTTCTAAACCTAGCAAAGGCAGGCTGCACAACTTTTTTTTATTTCAGGCTCATATTACATCAAGAAAATGCTCCACAGTGATTTCAGGCTCACATACATCAAGAAAAAGCTCCACAGTTAAGACTGAAAAGAAACTAAAATTCTACGTTGGCTCATCCTATAAGGCAAAATATAGTTGACATTAACAAACAGAAATGAAGCCAGCATTCAGGCCTGTAGAGCTGCAGTAGAGTATGTGAAAGCAATGTTGCTGCTGGTCCCAGGACTATTTGTATAACACTCGAGAATTATGACTAGAGTGTCTGTCCTCCATTTTTTATACTTAATGTGAAAGCAGCAAATACCACATTGAGAGTAATGGGGGCAAATCTAATTCCTATTAACTTGTGTTGCATCTGATTTCACATCATGGTGCCACAATTAAGGTTCCTGCTTTCAGAAGCATGTATTGGGACATTAACATTAGTAACACCATGTCCTACCCCCTGATTTGGGGCATGTATCTATAGATAGGCAAAATTCCCAGATATGCGTAGCACCATGTACTGCGATTCAGAACGAGGCAACCAAACTTTCACATTGTAAGGCTTGTGAATACATCACTTTCAATCCAATAGAAATATTGCTTTCGACTTCAAGATGGTTTTGCTGACAAATACAACTTACTTCTTACTTCTGCATACAGATCACAATGGGACATTTCTGACATGAAATGTCTGCTGCACAACCTGTACTTATTTGCTCGTACATCACATTACAGTAACTAGTAAATAGGAAGGGCCAATTCAACATGAACCAGGGGTTGGTGACTATATAGTACTTCTACAAAATTCAGGATTTTATGATAATTTTGAATTTTGCTATAACATCAATTAATTAATTTTGTTACTGAGATTTAATTCCCAATCTGAGAAATTGAGACTAAAGTTTCCCTTTACGTTGAACTAAAATCCAAATTTTACAAGCTATAACAATGGTTTTTAGCTTTTTAAATGTAAGATGCTACATCTACAGGATTTAGCAAAAACAAACATGACACCTCATGTGTCACTGGCTGGCATTCCCTACCAAATCATGGGTGTATACAGTTACTGTACATCATGTCACACGACAGGTACTGTATGGGTATGGTTCAATGCGTTTGATAATGGGAGAATGAACATTCAAGAAGAGTTGCAGCCAGGGTATCCTAGTACTTCCTTTGTGAACAGGAATGTTTAGTGCATTGAAGGCATGATAAGGGAAGAGAGATGTAATAAACTTACTGTTATTGCAAATGAACTCAACATTACCTGGGGCAAACTGACAAGAGGAAGCACTTATAATTTCTCTGGGACAGATGCACCTGATTCATAACACCTCAAAAGGTGTTTAAATTCAATTAATTTAATATCACTACTGCTGAAACTGATTGGGTCTCCCACTGTTCAATCCAACTGTTTTTGCAGTAGTAGGTGTAAATGTCTCTTGCAGTGCTTCTTTTGCTTTCTTTTTACAGAGCGAAAATTAAGAAATCCCACTGTGAGACAGCCCGTGAAAACACGACAGGAGGTTCTAAAATACTCTTAGCAGCATATTTTGAGAATACATTGTCGTGCGTTTGCAACAATTGTTCAAAAAGAAAATATTTTGGTGAAAAAGCAAAAGGTGCTTTGATTAGGAATGGAAAAACAACAGCTTGACTTCAAACTCTGTGAATGTCAGTATAAAATGTCAGCATAAAAACAAAATTCTCCATTGCCAGTTCTCATACATACCATGATACCCAGCCAAGCATGACTCACATAATTCACGCCCTTTTCAAATTATCTTTAAGAAAATGTTCAGCCAAGATGAAGTGCTCTTTTCTAGAATAGTTTAAGATTTTTTTTAAATCAAGATCAATCAATAATGGTAAAGCCTAAGAAAGCACTATAGTTTGGATGTAGACACTATACAGCTCTGCAGGGAAACCCACCAATTATTTTATTTCATGCAGACAATATTAATGTAGTTACAAATGTCAAATGTATAGTAACTACCTAGAAATCTAAGAAGAAAAAACAACTCAGAATACATGAAAAAACTACCTGTTGTTGAACAGGGTTCACAAATGAGATCAATTATTAAATATCTGTTACAAAATTACAAAATACTACAAAAAATGTTCAAATGTATGTTATTCTTCAGTTTTAGGAAAATAAGTCATAATTATCTAATAAGAAAATAATGAGTATCCTCTTAGACAAATACTAAAATCAAATGGTCTAAACGATCCTTATGTCCAAACTAAACTTGATAATTGTTTTATTGCACTGTGATTGCATTTCTGATAAAGTACAGATGACAACATTTGCATAATAATTGTGATAAGACTGAGGTTATATTATTGAGTGTCATCCATCACAAAAACTAAGTCTGTAACCTGAGTTGATGGCATGTTGCTTGAATTTCCCAAAATTCAGCTTGTAGGTGATTTGTGATCTTGGGCTAACCTCTGAACTTCAAGTGCAGAATTCTATACAGACATATTTTTGATACCTTAGAGATATTGTCAGGTTGCATTCTATGCAATCTATAGGGGAAAAATATATTCAACATTTAGTAGCTAGAATCCTGACTAAGTCAAGTGCAAGTGATCAAATGATTGCAGTGGCTTCCTACAAGGCTTAGAGATGATTTTAAAAACCTTGTACTTATATGTTTACAGAAACTGATTTGCAATCATTTTACTCCTCCAAACAGTAAATTCCTCTTCTTGTCTACAGTCTCTGGGTGACCACTGCTGTTTTCCACACCTTTTGAACACCATCCCTAAAGATATCAAGGTCTCAGCCACATTTGGTGCTTTTGCATACAGCCTGAAAACTTTAGAATGTATTTTGGTGATTATCTTATCTCCTGTTCTTGTTCTTCAGCCTTATATTTTTTTATTTAGGTTTTTATAACTTGCTTATTCAGTTCAGTAATTGTGGGTAGCATTAACATCCCACAGATACTGCAAGAAAGTAGAAACTGACATTCTGCATGGCAACATTTGTTCTTGCAACATCACAGACAGATCAGTGAAAGCACACTGGCTCATGTACAGTTTAATGCCAAGGCAGTGCAGTCTTTCACTGACGACTTCAATTTCTGCTCTTATTAAACTACAAAGCATACTAATGGCCTTCACAAAAGTACCATAAATGTTTTGTTTTTTTAAGTTGCTGTCACTAAGTCAATACTAGGCTTTTTCAATTACACCATTTTATTGCTTTCAATGGAGAATGAAGATGATAAAAGGCCTGTTGTATCTCTTATTTCAACATTAATGTTGTTTAAAAGTTTTTTGGGCTGGCTGGAAACCTTACTCCATAAGGCCTATTTAAATACAATATACTGTAGGAGTCATTAGTATATATTTCCTCCAGGAACCAAACCTCACATGCAATCATGGGCTTACTCTAATATCATGATTATAAACAACACAGGTACCAACCTCATTTAGAATAGTATGTTCTGTTTTGTTCTACCACGCTAAAGAAAGGACATTACTGTTCTAGAAAGCTGAGCCACCAGATTCATATCTGACCTGGAAGGTGAATTCCATTTAAACCTTCTTATAATAAAATAAGATACCTAGAATAACACCATAAATAATTAAATAAAGCACATACAGTGGGGTGTAGGAGGCAAAAATAAAGACTAATATTTATGTCAGGAAAATTGAACTACTGTGAAAAAATGTATGGAAGAGTTTTTTAACCTGGAAGGGCTCTGTATATTCCCAACCACAAAGCCATGTCATTAAAATTGTGGTTTAAATTTCCATTTTTTCATGTCATTTTATATTACACCAAGCCCACTAATAGGTAACACTCGGTGAAAACATTCAAGATGTTAAGTGAATAAACACTCACCTTCTGACATGATCTTGGCCAGAAGCTGCCCTAGTGTAGATTCTATTTACTCATTTATGTTTTAATTTGAAATCTGCACTACCTCATTTTGATTTCTCATTTGAACTGAGCTGCGGGAGAAAAAGCAATTAGGAGTGACCTTTGAGCTCTTACCTGCACGGGGTTCTACAGTCCTGTTCACCATTGTATCCATGAAGATGAATCTGCCGCCACCAAAATCTGTCCCATAATCTGACAGGTAGAGCAGAGAGGTGTAATCAAAGGAGCCATAAGTTACCTACAGTAGAGAGAGCACAACAGACATTGTTCACTAAAGGCTTGTTCCGGAGGTTCTAGATCTTTTTAAAAAATATATATGTCCTAATCCTTTTTTATTAAAAAGGTCATAAAGCACCCTAAAATATCACAGTTCACAGTTATTTCCAGTAACACGCAAATGTATTTCATGTTACTACATAAATACATAATTAATCCAATTTCACTTGTTGCATAACAATCTAACTAATAAATGTACTAGAAAAGTGTTTTGGGGTACATTTTTGTGTTGTCGATTTCCCCGATGGACAAAAAGTATTCAAAATGCCTATTCCATAGTAAAGGAATTTGATTGATTTGATATGCCATTCAGTTTGATTAAAATAGTGTAGGTTGTTCTATTCTTATACTGTTAAAATCCTTAACAGTTTTTTTTTAGCTGGAGTGAGATCTAATGCATCCTTAATTGTATTCCTGAGGCACGTTAAACCAAAAAAGTGCAAATTGAGCGCATAAATTGAGAACTACCTGAAATTTTTTTTTTGGTTTCACATAAATCGAAGTGGAATTATGATGAATGGATACACTTTAAAATTCCTAGAAATAATGATGCCATTCATACTTTACATACCAGTACCATACCAATTAGCAGATATATTGAAAATATAGCCTCTCATAATGTTGTTTTAATCCTGACATGGTAACAATGAAGTTTCCTGAGAAGGGAAAGTACAAAGGAATGCAACATGATTTTGTAAACCTAGCTTGGAATAAAGTATTAATTAACGGAGGTGTAAAGTACCACTCTTTGAGAAAATATGCTTATTTTCTCTCATTTTGCTCAGTAAAGGTTCAGATTAAGGAGTTTTAAATCATTTCTTGTCAAAATGATATGACTGAAAGTTAAAAAGTTAATGACAGAAATTATTTGGATCACACTTAGAGGTATTGCATTAAAAACTGAACATGTCAATTCAAGTACTGCTGTGTAGTCACTATATACTGATTATAAAATCGGATGCCAATTTATCACAGGAACATAAGAGGAAATAAATATCATGAAGAGCAAAAAAGCTTCCAAAAAGAGAAATTTCTTTCAAACTAATGAAAATGGGTCCATAACTGAGGGAAATGCAGACATGCTACACAAAATGTAAATTGCTCAATCGGTATTGTACACTGGGTGCAAAATACAAAACATGCACATCCTTACAGTACATGCATGCACAAATATACCACTCACATATTCCAATCTTCCTCATCAACAAAGCAAACCAGTAGTAACATCATTCAGACTGATGACATTAAAGCCTCCAATATCAATTTTAATCAAAGAAGGCTTCAACTGGGCCTTGCATGCGTAAAAACATTTACATTTAAATGGAATTGGCTTGGAGCAATTAGACGGAAGGTAATAGCACTGCAAAAGAAGGCGGTTTCCTTCCTTTTTAATTTGTCCTGCAGTCTGAGAAATACAGCTAGATTCCAGCATGGTTTTGGAAGGAGGGATAAATAAAATAACAAAAAAGGTGAAAATAGAAGGTGACCAAAAATTAAAATCACTAAAAAATACATCTAGAATTTTATTTTTTTCCTATTGTAATGCTTAGGTTGAAACTAGCACAGTCTCTGCACATATTCACATCATAGTTAACTTACTGCATTGAATTATGGGACAGAGGAGACACCAATGTCATTAATGTACATATTGATGGTGTTATTTAGGAACAGGCATGAACAGAGCTGTTATACCAAATTTTGTCTCTTTGGTCAATGGCCTTTATTTCCAAAGTGTGCACTGGCACGCATACAATATTTCCAGCTAATAAATACCTTAGCTATCCCTACCAGTATGGAGTCTGAACAAATTTGACATATTTTTGACAAAGATCAAGTGAAGATTAAGGGTTTTTTACATTTTAAGAAATTTCCCAAATATCACTTTATTGCATGTGTAATTTAATTTTATTTTAAAATGTAATTAACTACTGAACATATGGTTAAAAAAATAACAGATTAATATGTTAGACAGTTACAAATCAAAATTTTAATTCAAGGTATGATTTAATTCATGGGGATTATTGGAAATTCGGACTCAGGAGATGTCTTTGCAGTACCTTGTCAATGTGGGGGTGCCAGTACTCATCATGAGTGGTCTTGGCCAAGGTGCTGTTGATCCGGGAGAAGAAAGTGGGCTTGGTGAGGTACAAACGAGAAGGGTCCAGGCTGAATGTCTGGGCAATTGCTTCTTGTATTTTCTGTCGTACTGTTCTGCGGGAAAAGAGATTGCTTCGGTTTTCCACTTTGTCTGGTGATGACTGGAAGGTCATCTTTTCCACCAGCCAATCATTAGCCTGCTAAGGGACATGAGGCCAGCCACCTAGTGAGGGCAGCATACACATTTCTTAAGTAATTATTAATATTCATTTCAATCTGTTTAGCATCACACTGAATAACTATCACTCCCTTGCACCACAAAAAAATGTCTTCTCTTTGGAATAATGAGTTGCACAGTTTAATGACATCACAGGATAGAAGCAGAAAAGAGAAAGTTCAAAGTGCCAGAAGTATAACAGCTGTTGCTTAGATCTGGGCTTAATTCCAGACATAGCAATTAAATCCATTATGGTAATGCCTCATAAAAAAAGTATGCAATATTATGTTAACTTTTGCTGGAACAAGTATTTTCCTCATCTCCCACATTACAGAGAAGAACTGACAATGAACACAGAAAAAGAGGCCAAGGGATTATAGCATCCCACCCTCCCTCCATGATTGTGATCTTCCTACCGATAAAGCTCAAAATCCTCTTCGGAAAAGACTTGTTTGATCTGCTCTCCAAAATATCTGAAACAACAAAGAGAAGTTGTTATGCGTTGTTGTTAGTGAATGGAGACAGAAGACAGAGTGAAACATCTAGAAGTTATAGTGTCCCTCTACCCTGACTTCTTTAGGCAGAGGGTGGTTCCCACTGGACTATACACAGATTGACAGAATGGCTACCCATCAGTCAGTAATACTGTGATCTCTGAAAAACTCTTAAGGTTGTTATCCTTAAAGAGATCACATGTTAATATGCCCATGGCTTCTCAATGTCAACACTGAAAAAGGTTACTGTGTTTTAGGTTAGTAATTTCTCTACAATCAGCATGTTAAATTCCTGGGTTAAGAAAACCAGATGTTTTAAGGATTAAGAGTCAGGTCTTCACTCATTATCTTTTATCACCTCCACAAGCAATTATAGTAAAGTGACAGACATTTTTACATTTGTTACTGTACTTTCCCTTCATTTCAGGATGATTTTTATTAGCCTTCCAAAGGTAAAACTGTTAAAATTACACAAATGGTTGTACTTGTAGTCTTGATTAATTTCCAGGTGGTCCATGCAAGCCTCATAAAACAGGTCTATTTACAATAAATGTTTTAATTCTTTAAGCGTTCTTGATGCTATCCACCTCAATGTACTGTAAAGTACTTTTATACTTAAACCACACATTTTTGCAAGTAGTAAAATAATTCATTTCAAGATGTTTTTTTTAAATAATGTCTAATTTTATTTGTATCCAATGCAACTTACATTTGCGCCCATTTATACAGTAGGGTATTTTACTGGACCAAAATGGGTAAAGTATATTGCTCACTATGACAGCATGGCTTCAACTGGAATTTGAACCCACAACCTTCTAGTTATGAGTCCAGAGCCCTAATCACTGCTCCACAGTGCTGCCTTAAATTACTACCGTGTCTTACTCCTTAGCTTTTCATGATCTGTTATAGTCGTTCTTTTCAATCACTCTTACCTGTAAATATTGACAAACTGCTTCCCCATGGATAAGGCCCCTGAATGTAGATCAAGAATTGATGCCTAACAACACAAATACAAAACATTTTTTAAAATAAAAATCAATTAATCTGCACAATTTGCAGAGTACTACAGGGGTAGAGTCAACATTACTTAGTCAAGACCTTCATGTTTCTTGGTGACACAGAAACTTCAACAACTCTTCTTCTGAGGTCCTCCAAAATCTCTTTTGATCGGGCCATATTGCACTTCAACAGAATTCTGTTGTGAAGAGCAGGTAACCAAACCTGTGTGATTTGTTTTATACGACAGGGCAGGTCAAACCCACACCTGAATTGTTTGGAACACTTGACTCATTGATTGGAATACCTGACCCCAATTACCCTCTCTTCAAGATGTCATTATCCTAGAGGTTCACATACTTTTTAAAAACAAATTCCCTATGTTCCAGACCCCAAGAACTTCACCCCTATTTTTACTTTTTTCACCAAAAAATTACAAAAGAAACAATAATAACTAATATTCATATTGTGGTTTGTGTTTTTTTAGAATACAAAAACACTGCTTACCTTGATAAATCATTAAACATAGCTACTTTAAGTACAGTTCTGTACTGTACAGTAACCACTTCATTTGCTTTCCGTGTAATTACACATACTCACACTTTTCATTTTCTTAACACTTTTAGCATCCATGATTAAGTCTAAACCACACATTTTCTTAGATAATAAGTAATAAGTAAAAGTGCACACAAACACAAACTTTCATATTCTTTTGTATCGCTTCTTCATAGTGTTGAAGTGGGCTTTCATTATTTGAAATGTGGGTTACATATCACATGCTTCGTAGTATCAAATTTTCATAAAAAGAACATTAATAAAAAGAGGTATGGGTGTATATTCAAACACTGATTTTTCAATTTACCCCTTTACTGTTAGCTTTAATTTAATATTTCTGAAAGGCAACTATCTTACTACCAGTAAAACTGAGCAGTGTTTCAACAAGCATAGAGATCTTAAAATTAAAACTTTAAAAAATTGTTTTGTCATACTTGTTGCTGCTTCCTCAAGAAATTTTTTAAACCTTTATGAAAAAAATAAATATAAATGCATTAAATATGACATGGGTTTTTTGATTCTTTGTTCTTGTGCACTTTCTTACATTCTGAATCTGACCTCTAGATAAATATTTTAGATATTGCTCAAGAGTGTCCAAATCAGATGGTATTTCAGACATCTTTGCAGCTCTATCTAAATCACATCACTCACTCTGAACACCAGCTATGATTTTAGCAAATGACTGTTTGCTGAAACAAACACTCTTCTTATTAATAATAATTAATATAAAGGGCTTGGGCTGAGGTATTCTGCTGCTGTCTGTGTAATTACAGAAGACTCATATGATCCCATTGTGATGCTATGCAATACAGTGCTCCGTTATAAGTTATTTTCTTCAATGAAAATATATTTGCCAACACTGAAACCCATAACCTCTGTATCATCTATTAATTTAATAGAAACTGTGGCAGAATAGGAACAAGATTTTAGAGAGAGCAGTAGAGTAAATAGTGTTTACTAATGTCAATAACAAATTTATGTCTGTGTGTTTTTTCTTCTACTAAACACAGTCATGCAGCACAAATTACTAGCTACACATACACAGCTACTGTATATCACATACAGATTTCTGCATACACATACAGCAAATTACCACGTGTCATTTAATGGCAAATTAAGCATTACTCTAGAATAAATGTTCTGACAACACACATTCCTGGCCCAAAATTGAGTTGAGTTACATGGGTAATAGCAATGTACAGTGCCTTTCAAAAGTATTCAGAAACGATAGCTACACATCTCCAATAAGTATTTTTATTGCAAACCCACATCCTCAAAAGGAAATTTTTTCAAGACAAAATTAGTTATTTGTCAGAAGATATCTTAAAGAAAGTCAAAAACTGAAACATGCTGCTTGATTAAATGTACTCAGGTTAAAGAAACTGCCCTAACGAGGATATAATTATCTTACCATTGCCTTCTGCCTATGCACAATTGAAGTGACGTTCAAATTTACTGGATTAAAACCCCTGTCTGTTTAGAAATGATTGGTTAGGCAGTGAATCTAAAGGAAAGGTACAAATCTTAAATGCTTAACAAAAAGGCAAGAAATAATAGCAGTTTATAATATATCATATGAAACACTTTATCTCACACAGCAGCTGTTCCAGCTTTCCGCTAAGAAATCAACAGCAAAAGGCGGCTAAATCTTTAACTGTCAGTAGTCTTGCCAGATTGACAACTGAAGAGGACAATAATGTAATGCACTAACCTGTGTCCTTGTTCTCCTATGAATCTGAGGTCCCTTGGGTTAACCCTTCAATACTACTTAGAAATGTACATACTTCTATTAAATCTCCTCTCCATGTCTTTTGTTGTAGACTTAAAGAGATTTATTTCCTTTAGTCTGTGAGTATGTGACAATCTCCAGAGATATAGAATCATTATTTTCACTCTTCTCTAAACACTAAGGATAAAATGTCCTTTTTGAGGTATAGTGACTAAAACTACTCTAAATGAAATTTTTCTAATCCATTATTATGCTTGAGCAAAACAAGATTTAAATGCCACACTTTTTGCTACAGATCCAAGCATTCGTTTTTTTTTTTTAAAGATTTCTCTCACTGTCTTTATTAGGACATTAACACATCACAGCTAACCAGATCTCTTTCAGGTATAGCTTCCTGCAATTCAGAAATCACTTCTATGATCACTATACTGCCATCTCGTGGAAATTGATACAAATTACACCTCTCCAAAAAATAAGCCTGCATGAGGCTGCTGCGACTGAAGTAATTCAGGTAGGAGAGAGACGGGGCAGATGCTGAAAGCTTACAAGCGCCCTCTGTCTTTGTTTCCATCTTAGCTGCACAATATTTTTGCCTCCACTCACACACCAGGGGGTCTCTACTTTACAGCAATTGGCCATACCCATAATCTCTGGATTTAGTCTCCTGAAGGTATTCAAGATATTAGCTTTAAGATCTCATGTTAAAAGCCAGCCTTTTAAAAACGCTTCTAAAGTACAACTGCTATGTAAACACTGATATTGTCATCAGCAGTTCATGCTGGTATTTTTAATTTGTAGCTTTATTTTTATCTGGTGTGTGAAGATTTGATACAGTTTCTTATACTGTACTTTATTCACATACAGTACTTTAAGTGATAATACAAAAATGAATACTCACACCCCCATCTGAGCCTCCTAATGAGAGACCTCTCTCTGCCAGCCTACAGAAGAAGACACATCAGATAAAAAGAACTTCAAAGACTTGAATTCAGAGCCAGGTCAATAGCAAAGAGCACAATTAGAGCATACTGTAAGAACTGTTACAAATAAGAGACCATTCAAATCATCTAACCCATTTGTTAGTTAGAAGCTAACTGAACTGAAAATGTTATTCAGCCATTTCTTAAAAGAAGCCAGAGTATCAGCTTCAGCAACTTGAGCCACTTTCAGAATACAACAGAGTAGCCTGATCTGCACTTACTAACGCAAAGGATTTTAGAACTGTCTCGTTTTCTCAATTCTAAATGCACTTTCTACTTGTTGGTCCATGTTTCACTGTTGAGTCTGAAACCATCCACTGGGCTGATTTGTCAAGGCTTTGTAGAATGTTGAATACGCTGGTGCCCATGAGAAGCAAGTGTTTTGACCTTGATCAATAGTGAAGGTAGCAATCAGAAATTAATTTATGTGGTATGATTCCATTCTGAAGAGCGCTGAATTGTTCAGCTAATGCATTCCAAGAAATTATTATTTATAAATTATTTATAAAATGTTTCACCTGTCAATGTCAACCAAATGTTAAACTTCTGACAGTTCTGAATAACCATTACTTATACCATAACTTAAGGGGTGGTCCCAAATGCATTTTCTATTGTACAATGCGGATAAGAGAAGTATAGTGTTTGAAAATGCACCCCAACGTCAGACATGCAGCGGCAGAGTAGAAAATTATGAACATTTAACAAAAATACTTCAATCATTATTTGCCAAGTAACACCTACGCAAAACTAGTACCATTGTTATACTAACTTATTTTCAAAATCCATCAGTCTGGTTGTCAAACATAAATATATGAAAGCCTACAGACAAGCTGGTCCTTTAAAAGTTACCTTTTCAACTTTGCCGACTCCTCCCTATTCACTACAGAGTCTGTCACTGCCCGGCCACATCTCTGAGGGGTGCAGTCTGGGAATGAAAAGCACACAGGATTAGGGTCACGATACTCTTTTCTCTTACTACCAAAGGTGCCTCTTCTAGTCATAAATAACAAGAGGCAATCTTGTGAACCACAATATTTATTACCTTTTTGCTTGGCTGACAACTCCTGCCAAGGAATCTTGCAAGAGTTACAAATCTTAAAAACACAAACGTTACATATTGATATAATTACAACTATTTTGTGAGAGCTGGAACTGAGTGTTACTTTTTGGTATGGGCTGCAATGTCCAAATTTGCTGTTGGAATTATGAAGTTGGTGTTATTGAAGTTATTAAAGTCTGCCTGTTGCTATGGCAATGACCAAGAGACAGAATAGGATAATTTATGGAGCAGGAATTTGTTTGTTGTTCGTGGCCATGGGGAAATTGTTCCCCAAAGTAGCTTTTGTGTATGTTCTAATTTGGATTTTTCACAGAGCACAGTGATGCAGTTGCTTTAATTGACCATTTAGCTTAATAAGTGCCCTAAATTTCTATGCAGGTCAATCATTAGAGGAACTACACTTAAGTAGAATTCCTTTCTTATGAAATCCAAAAGCCTTGTAAAGGCACCATTTAACACCCTGTTACAATCGTTAGATGAAAGCTTTACATGATATTTTTTCTTCATAAAGTGACAGGTTTTCATAGGTTGTAACTCTATTATTGACTCACATTTCGTGACTATACGTAAGTTTTCTTCACATTTATTTATTAATATTACCATTTAGTTTTCCTTAATACATTTGCACTTCTTGGGCAATTATTGCCAAATATAATTAAAATCCCTTCAAAAATTAAATCACTAGTTAAATATTGAATAATGTTGTAAGGATAATTCATCTGAGTTCTAAAATCAAACCCATCATCATTGCCATGGACCTGGGTAATGTGGAACGTAAAGTCAATATGGACATAACACACAAAAGGACAGCTTTAGTCCTGAAGCCAATTCAATGACCATGAATGCCTGTTTGGAATTGAATCTAATTAGCAAGCAAGGTTCCGGAAAATCAACTTCAACAACATTATTTTTATCAAACCAAAGGAAAAGCAACACTCTTCTTTCCAAAAAACAGATACAGGCCTGAAATATGCACAACATATAGGATTAATTTTAAATGACTGCATCACTGGCACAGTTTGCAGAAAATTGATTTTATTGATCTGCGCTGATCTAATCAAGACACAGAAAGGAAAATGGAGGTGAGAGAAGCATTAGGGAACAAACTGTACCCCATGCTGTTTATAATCTTTGAAAATACAGCTGGAAGTCCCCAGATTTAAAATTGAATATCTGATTTATTAGGAAAAGTCCTACTGAGGCACACAGTCCATTTACAGTATTTTCCAGTGTGATTTAGATTGATCAAGAAACTGTGCCAGGGAATTGACTCAACTATTAAACATTTATAGAGAATGCAATTTTATTCAAGATATTCAACTCGTCTATTGAAAGACACTGATTTGAAGATGGAATCGACATTCCCCAATATGAGCCATTCATTCATCATACAGACAGTTACATAGGCAAATAGTGGTAAAGTGAAACCTAATCAGCGGTGAATGGGAGAGAACTCACAAAGAGCTGTTTAATCTTAACTTAGGAACAATTTAGAAGAGCCAAGCAAATCAAGTTATGTCTGTGGGATGGGAAAATGAAAAAGCTTCAAAGCTTCAAGTGCAAAGCTGTCAAGATTTATTTTACTTCACCCTTTTAATGCCATGTTACATACAAAAATTAAAACTGCAAGATTGTTTAATTGAAAACAATGAAGAACAAGAACTAGCTTCTTTTGCAAAACAACTTAAATATCAGTAAAACTCTGTTCATAGACATGGAGTAGGGGGTGGGGAGTCACAGACAGAAATCTAGGTGACATATGGTAGCACTCAGGTTCTGCATTTGTGTCTTCCTTTTAAAAGAGCAAAGCAAACAAGAATGCTTCCTTCATAAAAACAACAAGCCGAGCTAACAGGATAAACCTGCATTTTACATTTCGCTGCTTAAGGCACCACAAATTCTGAGAACATGACTTAAAATTCAGGGGGTTTTCAGACTATCTCATTCCAGAATGTTCTGCTGATTTACAGACAATGGAAAATGTGCAAGTTGAAAAGGCACCAAACAAATACTTGTTAATTCAGAAGCACTTCTTGTTTATGAGCTTTGCTTTTGAAGTTGCCTTAGTATAATAGAACCCAGATGTTACTAGCCCGAAGGAGATGGATTCAGTCCATCAGCCCAGGGAGCTGAGACTTTTTGAGTCGTCAAACGCTCTGTTTTGTTTTATTTTATTACTTGTAAGTCATCTTACATGATTTATACCAGCATATTATTAAAACTCTTACATATAAAATATTTTATTGTTGGTGAGCTATAAAGTTTTGTACAGCAGATCATGTTTCAATATTCTTGTTTACCTAGTGTACTAGCTTTCACCAGCAAAATGGAAAAATTATAATTCTCAAAAAGTTAGTAGCAATAAAGGTCTGTTTCACTTCCCAAAAAACATTAAGCACCTATTTATGTACTTTGTGTAAACTTACAATAGTAAGATGTTTTATCTTAATTACTGTATATGTACTCTACCAGCTTCGTTTACAAAAGAACTTCAATTCAAGAACAAAACCAGGCTCCTCAACCAATCAGAGACACTTTTGGAGAAGCATTTTGGAACCAATAGCATTTCATTGTTTTTTTTTTTAAAACCTCTCAGTGTATGTACGAAATGTTTGGCAGTATCAACTCTTTCACCACAATGAGTTAATTTCATTCAAAAAATGCAAATGAGGAATCTCATTAAAAGAGTTTTTATATTTCTGTATTATATATATCTTAGGCTCCATCAGCCCTTTACACTTATTTGGCGATATAGGATGGTGTTTTCATCTCTCATCCAGTGATCGATTTCATTTCAACAGACACTACAAGATGTCTCCTTTCTTCTGCAAATGACTTTTTTTGCACACAGATAAAATCAGTTTCTTTACTGTCACTTTAAATGGGATGAGATTACTTGTCTGATGATAGTCCTGATTGGGATATATATATAAATACAAATGACAAGAAAAAGTACATCAGCAGCTCTGGAGGAACTTTGTACCCAATCCTCTGACACAGGTCCAACAACAATATTGCACGACAGAAAAGAAGGGTAATAATGATCATGCAATGCCCATGGAATAGTTTTGAGAATAATTGAGAATATATTTGACAATAAAAAACAAACAAAATCATTTATACTAAAATTAACTTTTTTGTTATATTTAACCATCCAAAACAGGTACCTTTGTTTGTAAAGGGACAACATCAGCATTTGGAGATGACTGATAATACTGCTAGAAGTCAAAAATGTTGAAAACGCAAGAAAAGGAAGTTAATGGTTTACTCCAGACTACAATGCAAAACGCTGATGCTGAAGTGCCCTCTTGTGGCAAGCACACAACCACACTGCACTTTAGGATTACTGTGGATAAGGAGTATGTAAGATATATACTGTAGAAGGAATTTGACAAATCTAGTATGAGCTCAAATCAGAGACGTGAAGAACAACTGTATGTTTCCATTTACTAGGATATTGTTCATGGTCTGAAGACTGTATCATTGGAGATTATAATTCTATTTTAACCACTTCCAGGTTTCTGAGAGCGTATTATCCATACATCTATTTTCTAACTGCTTTATCCAATAAAGAGTTGCAGGGGACACAAGAGCCAATCCTGGCAAGCAACTGGAGCAAAACAGTATACACCTTGGGTGGGATGCCACTCCATTGCAGGGCACACACAGACATGAACGTACACACACTCGGACCAGAGCCAGCTTTCTCAGAAGTCAATTAGAATACCAATGTGTCTTTGGGCCATGGGAGACAACTAGAATACCAAGAGGAAACCCTTGTGAACATCAGGAGAACACACAAACTCCATGAACATAGCATCCCAGGAACTGAACACAAAGCCCCAGAATTGAGACATCAACGCTAACCACTGTGCCAACATCCTGCCTGAGCATATTATCACTGATTGCAAATTATGCAGCTCTAAAAATAAACACCTATGTCGAATTACACAACACCCTAATATCACCAGGACACATTTATCTAATATCTCTCTTTCCATTAAGGATATGCTCACCCACGCACCCCCTAAATGAGACCTCTATGTCATTACATTTAAGCAAGGAGATAAAATAACAGAGCACACTGGTAAACGTGAGGCAACAGATGTACAGTACCAGGGTATTGTTTGTAGTTTTTGTAGTCCTCAGAGCATGACACCAGGAACACCCTCTCAGCCACAACTTCACTCTGTCTGATGAGGATCTCCACGGTACCATCTTCCATGCTGAGGAGGAGCCAAGCTAGGCATCCTAAGATAGACAGCAAACACAAGAAGAACAGGGCACCCTGGGGCCTCTTCCACCACACAGCCTGTCTCTGAGCGTTTCCCCTGGAACATAGGAAGGGAGGCAGCATCACTTCACAGAGTCAGAAAAGGCCACAAAATGAGACAAGTGAAAGAGCAAGAGAAAAAATGGAAGTGAATGGAAGTCAATGGAAGCAAAAAACAATGAGTGGAAGAGTGCATAACAAGAGAGTTTGAACATACTGTATAAGAAGGGAAGTATTGAAAAGTCAATCCCATGATTCTGCTTTCTTTCCCATAATTCAAATGGAGCCCACAGCGTACCAGGGATGGTATACAGTGTAGCTGAATAACAAGCTGTCCATTTATCCATGTGTGTTGTAGAGTACGCGTATGAAATTTACCGGCAGTTTGCCCTTGATGCAAATGAATAGTACCTTCTTCATAATTTACACTGGGTGACACAGTGGCACGGAAGTTAGCATTGCTTCCTTGCACAGCTAGGACCCTGGGATCAGTTCCAGACCTCAGGTGTTATCACCATTGAGTTTGTCTCCCTGTGTACGCATGTCTTTCCTCCAGATGCTCCAATTTCCTCCCACAGTCAAAAGACATAATAGTAGGTTAACTGGCTTCTGGAAAAACTGACCCTGGTGTGAGCGTGTGTGTCTGTGTGCCCTACAACGGACTGACATGCTGTCCCAACTTGTTCTTGCTTTGCACACATTGCTTACCTGGTGATCAAACCTGGAACACGCCTTAATGAACAGCACTGTATTTACTTTATATCTTATAAAGTTTCTCCACAACTTCAGTTTACAGTCTCACTCAGATGTTCAGTGAATAAAGGCTGGTTCCGTAATCTCTGCGACTGTATTCCAAAATCGCTCCAACCAAAGCAAATTCAAAACTATACATTAATCCGCTTTCTTTTCAAATCCAGGAAGTACAATTATCACTCGGAAGTAACATTTAACGAAGTGAACCTAGTATCCTGACAGGAATGAACCCACAGTGTTGGAACAATATTCACTCTGCCAGCATTATGTTCGATGCAACTACTGTACTTAACGTGCAAACACTATAACCAACTTATACGCAGTACACATTAGCTATAGGAATTTATATAAAACAATGCTGGTAACTTAATACGGCTTTATTTCTGCATGTGTGATTTCATCCCTTTAATGCTGAAAGTTGTGTGCATGCCATTTCGAAACGCAAAATGAATTAAGATATTTCTGTTGCACAAATAACTTTTTTTCGTATGCCTTTCCTGGACAGATGTTCTTGCACAAATTCTATGACATGTTCATCTGTGTCTTACCTTTTAATTTTTTTCTCAATACCATTGTTGTCTGTTATCTTCTTATTGCTGCGCCGCTGCATAGCCATGATGTGTTTTCCAGGTTATGCAGACAAAGCTAACTATATATACTTGCACTAAACACTACTACTTTGCAACCACCATTGTCTAGAATCACTTCTATACAATCGGGTCTGGCGCTGGAATAAATACGTAACTTTGGAGGCAGGCCAAGAAGCCAAAAGCAGTAGAATGTCGAGAGTATCGGAGTGTTCTGTTTATTATCGTCCACATTGAATTGCAGTTGTGTGCAGGCTGGTTCCAGGTAGATTTGCGGACAGAATTAATGTTACACGCTTAATTGTGTCGCTAGAGCTGTAATATTTACGCCTTTTATGTTGAAGTTAGACTTTTCTTCACTATATTAATTGCAACTACATTTATAAGCGTGTATTAAGTATTTCAAATATTTCGCTGGAATTGTGAGCATTACTATTTCTACGGATTTGCCGGTACAATGTACTTATTTTATCTTGAAGATCTTTTTTATTTAATCTTGAATAGTCGAAGAAATATATATATATTATTTAGAAATCACTGGTGTTTAATCCATATATAATATATCCTTCACTATTTGACTACTGTTGCAAACGGTCGGACGTTTTTGTAATAAACATCGCAGGATAAAAAACAATAGTTCGTATATGAATAATTGTTTTTTAGACAACACTTTGTAACCAGTATAATACTACATATTGTCTGTACTTATGAGCATACTGCAAAAAATCTACTTATACTTAAACAGTTTCGCACAGGACAGGCCTTACTTACATAAAAATACAGGAATATTTGAGACACAATAAATAGATACCGTTTTACTGTATATTTACGTCCCTTGATTTTTTTTGTATTGCTGAGCTTTGTGACTACAAGGAAGCCATGACCTCTACGTCAATCGGAAAGAAATTAGTTCACCTTGATCTGAAGGGGGCCCCTCCTAGAATATCATACCTGGCACAGGTAACTATCATTTCATTACTAATTCATAAATGCATATTGCTGCCGTGCTTTGTATTTATTATAGATCTGTGTATTTCTTTAACTGACACTGTTCAAACATCATTTCAAAGATAGGATAAATATCCAGAAATTAGAAGTGGTCTGTGAGCTATTTGGGTGTAACATACTGTACAAATGCAAATATTATTGTATGAACACCTCAAGGTGCTCCTGTTTCCTCCCACAGTCTAAGACATACTGTGGGTTAATTATGGGAAAATTGGTCCTGTTGTGAGTGTGTGCCCTGTGATGGACTAACGTCATGTCCAGGGAGCTATGGCTTCTCTGTGGACCTGAATTGCAGTGGTTAGAAAATGAAGGGACAGATGTACTGTATATACTGTAATTGTATGAATAGACTAAAGGCACTGCTGCTTTTGAAGACCAGAAAAAATAGATTACAACTGGATTTTAGAATATTTGTGTCAGGGTGTTGAGTGAAAGAACAGTTAACGAAGTACAGTATACTTACTACTGTACATACTGTACATGTACAAATAAATCAATGTCTTGCACTCATAGTGCTGGGCAGCCACAGCCACACAAGTTGAAGGTAGCATAATGGAAAGAGGATCCTAAAAAGCTGAGAACCCAACAACATTGATTAAAAAAAGATACCACAAAGTTTTCATCACTTTTATATTTTATTTCTTGTGTAGCTCTTCCCCTTGTTTTCTAAACTTGGCGCTGATGGATTGCTTGTGGAGTACGAAGACATGTTTCCTTACGGAGGTATCCTGGAGGTCCTGCGGGCTAAACATGCATACAGGTGAGATGTGACAGGTGAGATGTCATTATTAGAAAGCCACTTCTCCTGATAAGGCTGGCAGCAACCTAGAGCCTATTCAAGGAGCCTAGGGAGCAAGACTAGTTTACCGCCTCATCAGAGTTGTGAGCCATTATTGGGTCACTTGATTTTGTGTTTTATTTCTTTAGATTGAAATTAACTTAATTGACCAGATTATTGGATAAATCTGACCCCTTTTATCTGGGTTATATCAGTGGTTTAAGTTAAAGTACACATTTGATTCTGGGTTCAGTATCCATGAAGCTTTTTGACAAAATGAAAAACATTTTGGAAGTAGTCATCTTATTGGACCAATTAAATTACTTTGGTAAAGAAATCTGGAATATACTGTACAGTAGCTCTGGAAAAAGTGCATTAAATATTCCTATGCTAAAGCTAAGTGGTTAAGAATTCTTCATTATAGTTGTGGATTTCAGATTTTTGGTGGAATGGTTTGTGAGCATGGAGCATGGAGCTGCTGAGGATATTGTATGAGCGTAGTTGAGAAATACTCTCTGAATTACGTATGTGATAATTGAGAAAGCAGATTATATGCATTGATGTCATCATTAATATTTTACAATTTCATTGAAGTAGTCATCAACATCATTCCTACCAGACAGAGATCCCTCTGTTTTTTTGGAATATCTTAGTGTATTTTTTAGTAAATTTTGTTTTTAGAATATTTTTTTTACTAAAAGGACTTGGCCATATAGAAACATAAAAAAAATCTTTATACATAACTGCTTTGTTATATTGAAAATTGTTGTTCCTACGCTGTAGCCTTGGCCATGGTGAAATGCCAGTATTAGTGTTAATTGTTAAAATGGTCTCTTATCATCACATAAACATTCCTTTTCAGCAGAAGATTCAGTCATAACAGTGGGTCAAGTCATAACAAACAGATTGTGGCTTTGTTGAATTGAAATTTGTATAAGATAAAGACTTGACTTTTACTGCTGACCTCTAATTTCCAGCCCAGATGAGATCAAGCAAATCCAACATCTAGCCAAATCCAGTGGGTTAGAGGTGATCCCTTTGATACAGACGTTTGGACACATGGAGGTGGGTGTGTGTGTCAGAACGTATTTTTAAGACAATCATTATTGAAACAGGTGGCACAGTGGCTTTGTAGTTAGCATCGCTGCCTCGCTGATTTAGTTCTGGCTCTGGAGTGTTATTTGCTTTGAGTTCATATGTTCTCTCCATGTTCATGTGGGTTAACTCTGGGTGCTTCAAAATCCAAAAACCTACTGGTAGGTTAATTGACCTCTTGGAAATTTGGGCCTAGGTTTGGTTGTGTGCATGTCTTTGTCTACCCTGTGATGGCCTGGCATCCTATTCAGTGTGTGCCCTGCTTTATTGCTTGTCAAAATAGGCTCTGTCCATGACCGTGAATTGGAAAATTCTCTGACTGTGACTGTCCTGTGCTCGTGAAAAGAATCTTCTCTCATATATTTGTGAAATAACAGTGTGTTCCATAAGTCTTTCAAGATGATAATATTATGGGTGATTAAAACAATTCTTTCTGATGTCTTAACCTTGTTAGTTTTGTTTAAAAATAAAATTGCAGTTAACATACTGTGCTAACAAGAGTTGAGAAATGCGACCCATGTTATGGTTGTGTTTATACAATGTAGCATGAGTCTCTGGATATGTTCCCCGGCCAGTGATTGCCTCTTCCTCTCAGTTTGTTCTGAAGCACCGGCAGTTCTCCGACCTGCGAGAAGTCAGCTTTTACCCCAGTGCTATCAACCCCCACAGGCAACAGTCTCTGGAGCTGCTGCAGGCCATTACTGACCAGGTGATGGCGCTGCACCCTGAGGCGCAGTGCCTGCACCTTGGGGCAGATGAGGTATGGGGTGACATGGGGTTGGGACAACTTCTGCATTAGTGGAGAACAGGACAGTTGAAAATCTACATACAACATCAATATACTGTAACTGTTTAGGTTACATACTTTTTTAAAAAAAATTCTAAGCAAGACCTTGGGAGATTACTCTCTATCTGGTCGGGAGCAATATGCCAGCCACAGCAAGAAAGTGTAAAAACACAAAGAGCACATTAAGAAAGCAGGGAGTATATTTCCTGAAATTAACACTTCTAGCTTAATGCCATGTAAGACTTAAATTTTAAAAAATGACTCTTAAGATCATTGTTTAAGTGTTTATTAAACTTTAAAAAGGATCCAGATTTTATATTTTTCTGAAACCTAGACTGTTTTTTAATCTGATCATTTGCTATATTTTTCAGCTGTTTATGGTTGCCAAATGCTGTACATTTTTCTTTATAAAGTAGAAACTGTCTTAATCCTGAGGAAGAAGAATAGTAGCCAGAGAGTGTTAGGTGGAATCTATCAGATGAGAGTGAGAACATGAAAGAGTATCTTCAGTCTTCTGATCTTACAATCTAATAACCCTGCCTGTTATTAGTACAAATACAATATTGTGAATAGATTACTATTTGTATAAGGGCTGTGAACCATCAAGAGATGTGGCATTATGAGAGAGATGATGAAAGTAAATAAGGAGACCTCTTGAGCTTTTGCTTCTTCAGTAGGATCACAATCTTTATAAGGATGTTCGTCTATTCAGTAAGTTACAGTATATGATCCATCACTAATAAAAGACAAAATTAAAATAAAACATGCTTTAATATGCAATTTTCATAGTTCATGGATTGTTTTTCATAAAGGAAAGAAAATATTTTGGAAATGCACATCAATTTAGAACATTGTAATTGAACATAAAACATGAAACTTCACTGATTTGTTTATTAAATACGGTTCCTTGTTTTTGTTTTCTATTTTATTATATTGGGCAAATTTGCCTTTCTGTAGCACCTTATCCAACATGGCACTGAAGGTGATTTGGGCAAAGAGATCGCCAATTGTTGTGAAGCAGCGCTGATATCAAAAATGAAAACAATTAAAAAGTCTGATCTTCCTCCCTGCAGGTCCATCTCCTAGGGCAAGGGGAAGAGTCTCAACAGTGGCTCAGTCTCCACGGAAACAATGTGGATGGACTCTACTTGAGTCATATGAAGAACGTGGCAGAACAAGTGCTGTCTGCACACCCCCATCTTACCCTCATTATGTGGGATGACATGCTCAGGGGCATGAGCCAGGATTTCCTCAGGGGTAAGAAAGAAGGCGATATGTTTGTCAGCTTATGATACCACTACATATACTTTCCTGGTTGTGTTCTAACCATTTAATTGCACCTACATGAAAAACAATGAAATACTATTGAATAGCCTCACTTTCCTAACTTGCTTTCATATCCTAGTTCTGGAAAATGTTCTGTTTTAGGTTACAATTTTTGAATAGCATATAAAATGTAAATGTTTCATTTCAGATTCACAAATATAGCAGTATCACTATTGAAAAACCTAACTGATAACCTTAGTGTCACCTTTTCTCATGACTATATTGTCAGCATGCAGATGTGCTGTCAGATTGCTGGTGCAGAAGTGGCAAGTCTGAATAATGTGCCCCAGAAGTGACATTGATCTAAATATAGTGATAGAGACGGAGGCATTTACATACAGTATTTCTATTTGCATAATAATTTAACACTGCACTCTACAGCACAATATTCTGATATGAAAACATCTGACATGCATTTTGAAGGTTACAGTATACGTGATGATAATTGGATTTTTGGAAGCATAGAGGGATCTTTTATGATCTGCCTGCACTTAAAATGCTATGGCCAGTGCCGTGACCAACATTTGTATTAATGAACTTTTTCTAAAGAGTACTTACAATTACTTAGTATATTCTCCCCCCTTTTCCTGGCTGGGCTGGAGTGCGGGTTTGTTTGAGCTGATTGGGTTGATTGAACAGCATGAGAATGCAGGCATCAGCCCTGTTCTCACATGCTGGGTAATCAAAGGCAGATACCAGACACGTCTGTTTTTATTTACAAAAATAATCAAAACATATTTCGGAACAAAGTCCTTCAGCCTCCTGTCCGTTCCAGCCCTGCTGCAATTAGGAAATGCATTTGAAATAATTTGTTGTGTCAAGCAATTTTCGAGCCTTTACCAATGATTTTCTTTGCATAGGTTTTGCGCATGTACTATAATACATTGTTGCTGCTGCTGTAATGTGATCATTGTTCACCCCATCTGTGACAGAGAGTGGGATTGCAGGGCTTGTCCAGCCGATGATCTGGGACTATAACCCAGCACTTAACGTGGAGCAAACAGGTAAGAACTATATCCATTCATCCATTTTCTAATTGCTTCTTCCATTTCAA